AAAAAACCAACGGGAGGAAAAGGCAAAAAGCTCGCAGACAATTTCCCCCCCCCCCCCCCGACAAAGATTTCAATAATTGGAGAAACACCTGGCTCAAGAAAGGCCAAGATCCTGGTGCAAAGTAATTGTTTTAAAAAGCTTACATATCACACACTCTTTAAAATCTTCTATTTTTAATTCTAAATCAGAAAATATCTCTTTATCTGTGAAAACGAGAGCAAGCTATGCATCATACGACATTTTCCCCACCTGAAAGCTCAGTACATAACAGCTTTCAAGTTATAAGAAGTGTTGAGAATTTTTCAGGGATGTATTTGTGCTTCATTTAGTTAAATCCTAAACCCAGAGAAGAAGTATATACCTCCGTGTTGTGCAGCTCCAGAGTGGTGTGGTTGTAGTGGGTGTGGTGGTCCACCCTCTGGTTCACCACTGCTATGTGGCCGTAGACCTCCTGCCCGCCTTCCTCCAGGGGCCAGTACTGTCCACACTTCCTCCGACTGCCCTCGTCCGTCCTGCAGCACCGAGACGTGTCAAGAAAACCAAACCTGACCAAGATTATGAAAACAGGAGTGCCCGGGAGGGTTACCTTGTTGTCATGACAATCAGAAGCACGTTTTGATCCCAGACCATTCTCCAGAAATCCCCGTAGGTCCTGTCCAGTGGTCCTGTGACATACAGGGGAGCTTACAGCATGTCTCGTGGAGACAAGTCCACTTGCATGAAGTAGACTTCAATAAGAAGAAGAACTTTAATTCAAAGCGTCTAGCAGTCCTACCTTGAGTACCAATGTACGCATTCTTCTGTTTATAGCCATCCATGAAGCTTGCGTTGATGTAATCCGATCTCTGAAAGAACAGCAAAGCTCAAAGTTTGGGGTATTGATTGCACAATGTGACCATACCGGCCGATGTAGGGCTTTTATTTTTACATATCAGTCAGATTTGTTAAAAAAACTGGGCTGATATTTATTTCCATGTTATTTTTGCGGTGTGTGCTATTTATTGACAAGATTGTGTGATGTTTAACTGAAGTAAAGAAGTAATGAGCATTGGGGACACAAGATGTTTAGCATTGAGATGCTATTTTAGGCATGGATAGATTTGGCTAACTCCACTTAGGACAACTTGAACAACAGTCTGGTCCACCGTCCCATCAGATTAACCCCCAGTGGGCCGAGTGAAGCAGTTTTGTCATACATTGTCATTTTTTGTGGAGATAGCGAGTGCGTCAGATTTTTGGGTGCAGCAGAAACCTGCAAATGCAAACTTAAAATGTCATTAATTAATCAAAATTAACATGTTAAAATCCCAACCCTGATATGTACGATGTAATGGTAAATCTTGGTTATCTTCCTTGTAATAATATTGGTTATTGATATCGGCCCAGATTTTCACATTGGTGCATTCCTAGATTGAATCAATTCCTACAGAGCTGAACACACACATCAGTTCAGAAGACATCTGGTCTTCTGAACTGAACGAGAGCAGCAGTCTGTTTTCTGTTTGTTTGTTTTTAAGTGCGACCTTACCTCGTTTCTGCGGGGCTTTAGACGAACTCTCGTTTGGTCAAGGCACAGCACATCGCCATAGCGATTCTTCTCCTGATTGTAGGCCGACCTGTGGAACCAAAAGAACACCAAAGCTCACTACTGACACCTGCTGCTCCTCACTGGTATAGATAAATACCATTGAACTATTATGAAGTTACACTGAGCAGGTCTCCATTTTCTCCAACAAATAAAACTCTAAAAAGTGCTTTTACTTAAAAAAAAGCCTGATTTACATTTGTGAATGTAATGAGAAAAAAATGAAAAAATAAAAATAAAAATAAATAAAAATAAGAGGGGAATTAATAAAAAAAAGAAAGAAAAAAGGGTCCAAACAGCAGAAGTGTTTTTACTTGATGTCATCTAACCTCTGCATCACTGAATTCATCTCATTCATAGCTGCATATGAATTATTCACACTGAGCCAGATATCATTACACCAATTAAATAAATTGTAATGTGATCTATTTGCAGCTAAATGCTTAATATGTCCCTATCAGGAGCAGAGGACTGCTGTATCATAAGGTCTTTTTAATGTCCACATTCATCTAAATGATAGAATATCTTTAAATAACCAATCCCATATTAATATCTGTATCAGTGCCGATATTGTGGAAGAAAAAACTAGATAGAGTATTGTAACAATGTGCCCGATCCGTAAAGGCAGATCTAGTCGGTCTAATTCTACGCTTTGTACTCTGAGCGACATCATTCTTTATTACTTATTTTACATTATATTTAGAATTTCTGAAAGGTTTGTTGCAGTTCATTTTTGTCAGTTTCAGTTTCTCTACTATTAATTTTACATTGGCTGTTATAATCCCAGTTTCACTGACCGAACCATTCAAAGTTGTTGTTTTTTTTCTCCATGTTTGACCAAACTTGTGAAGCTGTTGGTGAATTAAAGAGTGTTGTGATGGTGCAGCGTTGTCAGATACATTTGTAATTATACCTAGCTGTCTTTTTAAAATGGATGAATTGGAGAACAGTTTGTGCTGAAACTGTAAGAGTCATGAAGACACTGTCACTCATGCAGCACGGGCCTGTCCATTAGAGCTGCCTTTTCAGCAAAACAATGGAAAAACGGCAAACCAATGGAAAACCCAAAATTCCCAGGGTTGTTATTTGTTAGTGGAAAAGTCATAAGGAGTATAGAGAATGGATAAAAACCATCACAGATTGAACCTTTTCAATTGCTGACAGCCAAATTACATGATCGACAGGAATCCTATAGGATTGTGGGGAATAAGTTTTTTTTATTTTTGTGGAGTTTATAATTACTTTAATTTTGTTGTGAATATTTAATATGTATAAGCTCTTCGGCCTAGTCTGAGCTCTTATGAGTATTTTATGTTTGTTCTGTTCTGTTTTATTTCTTTTTACTTTTAAATCTACATATTCAAATATCAACAAAATATTGAAATTCAGTACATTTATGTCGGCGTTTAAAAAAACAAAACAAAATAATCTTTTAAGCACTTCCTGAATCAAATCTGTGTCAGCCGATACGAAATCTCAGATATCGGTATCGGTGCGTTCCTAGTCTGCACGTGTAGCGACTTTGTTGCTATATTTTTCAACTTTTCAGACAAAAAACACAAAAAGTAAGTTAAAAAGAGAAATGGAGTCAGCAGGTCAAGACCGTCGATCGGCTGGAAAACTGTTTCCCATGAAGCAGAGCGAAAGCAGACGTAGCTTCAGGTCGACTCACTGTGAGCAGTGGAAGGTTCCGGGAGGCGCCTCCCTGCGCAGCTCCTCGTATTCCTGGTAGACGCCTGAGCGCTGCAGCCGGCCCAGGTGCGCCAGCAGCTCCTGCGGCCGCATGGCCTCGGACCCCGGCACATGGATGGACGAGTCCTCCAGGGGGATTCCCACCAGCTCGTCCACGGGGTCCACCCGGCCGTTCTGACCCGCCAGCAGCTGCTGGTTCCAGCCCGAAGCGTCCAGTGGAAGCAGGCCGCCCAGGTGCTGGGGCAGGCAGTCTCTGGGGAGGTGCTGACGCAGCTCGGCCATTTTCACCATCTGAACCTGGAGTCGGAGGAGGAAACCGGGGATTCGATGATCCAGAAGCTAAAAATCCTTCATGCTTTTAGTATGAAGGACGATTTACCCTCTCCCTCAGTTTCTCCTTCAGCAGCAGGCTGAGCAGATTGTAGGGGACTCGAAACCACACAGGGGCCCCCACGATCAACACCTTCTTTAGCCTGGCAGGGAACGCCCCCTGGTGGACAGAGACAGAACACTTCATATTAAAACTATAGATTTTCTAGACACAGATTTTCATCTTCAGAAGCTAATTTTTGTGGACAAACCCCAATAAAATCTAGTGAATTATTGCTCTAATGTTATTATTATTGTTACTTTAGTGCAAAAAAAAAAATCTATGCTTTTTATTTCAAAGACTACAGTTGCCATCAGTATTGTCAATAATGTCTTCTAATAACATAATCACCCAAAGATAATTTATAATGTCCTGCCAACTTGTAACATTTTTTAATATGCCCCACTGGGCTTAGCAAGTTTTCTGAGACAAACAATAAAATGCATTGCAATATGGCAAATAAATAACATTCACATCCTTGAGTTCATAGATTAAATTAGTTTGTTGTGTAGTTTGTTTTCATTTGCCATTTGGAAAAGCTTTTATGACCTGGAACCAACTAATGGACGACCCTTGTAGTACTTTATTTTATGCTTTAGTTTGTCTAATTGGGAGGCATTTGTAACACTTCCTAATTGACTAGTGACCTTCCAGTCACAAAATCAAAAATCGGATATTTTTTCCAATCAGTAAATTCAACCGTATCGGGTGGGGATTAATTTTCAGATAGGGCGCTGTAACTAGGGAAACAATACAAAAAACCCAATGAACACTATATCAGAGGAAACACAAATATGAAAGAAGCTGCTAAACATTTTGAGAAATTGTTCAGGCTGCAGGAGAGAGAGAGAGCAAGACTTTCAAGAGGTAGAAAAATACATCTGAAGACCATTTAGATGGTTATATCTTTTCATAAGAAAAATCAGAAACAACTGGAATCTCTCATCCTCAAGAACTAGACATCAAAAATTAGTTACCAAATTCTGACTGTTGCCTCCCGAACAAAACAGATTTGACCTAATTTTTTGCATTGTGGCTGTTCGATTTAAACCAGTGAATCAGCGATTCCAACCTTAAGCAGGTTGAGGATCTTCTTGCTCAGGTCCAGCTCGAAGTTGGTGTAGTTGGAGCCCGCCATGTCGTAGATGAACACCAAGCCATTCCTCTGGGTCTCAAAGCTGAAGAGAGTAAAAAGAAATCTGCATGTTTTCACACGGTACACTGAAAAGGTTCAGCCATCCGTGTTTGAAAAATGTAAATGTAAATGTGCACCTTTTTTTTTTTTTTTTTTTTAAAACACAATTTTAGAAGTGAAGGGAAAAATCAGAAATCTGTCTCTTTGATCAGAAAAGATTCTGCAATCAATAATCAGAATTCCTGGTGGTCACCTTTCTACGGCTCGGTCCAAAAGGTAGAAGAGAGCCTGGAGCACAACGTGGTTGCCTGTCTTGTTGGGATGATGAAGCTTAGCTGTGTACAAAGCGATGGAGGCTCCTGTCGGGTCCCGGACACTCTGAAAACAGAGAATATCAACAAATAAGAAGCTTTTCATCTAATCTGGATCACAGATTTTGGATTTGTATTTATTCCTCTGCTCCGTGTCGATACTTTGTAGAACCAACTTTCGCTTCAATTACAGCCAGCAGCTGTTTTTGTGGGGAATCTCTACCAGCTTTGCTCATCTAGAGACTGACATTTATCCCCATTCTTCTTTGCAAAAACAAATTACAAGAATTAAGTCATAATATTATGACAAATTCATATTAGCAGGATAAAGACACACTTTTACCAGAGGGAAGTTGTAAAATTGATAGAAAAAGTTGCAAAGCTTTGATAATATAATCAAGATGAGACGTGTCTGTGGTTCGTTCATCGAAACAGACGCAGCCGTTTGCAAAGATCGTTTCAAAGTCCTGCTTCTGATAATAATTTGGTGCTGATGTGTTAAAGAGATTAATTATGTTTATTTGTAAAACCGATACCAAAATATAACTTGACAAGATGCTTCACTTTCCTCATTTTAAGTTCTTATTTTTTGTGTGGAAGTTATCGTAAAATTACTACTTCATTTTACTAATATTACAACTTCATTCTGGTAAGATGAGTTTCTCTTCACGATATCACTGCCGTTTCATCTTTAATGTCATACAAATGATTTCTCGTGTCGTTATGACTTTATTCTCGTAACATTACAGCTTTTTTTTCTCGCATTATTGCGACTTTATTCTTCTATTATGATTTTCAACATGCTGTCTTTTGTCTTTCAGTAATATTGTGACTGTTCCCATGTCATTTATGTCTTGTATTATCTCGACTTACGGTTGTACAACTTTTATCGTAATATGACTATTCTTGTATTATTACAACTTTTCTCTTGTATTAGTACTACTTTATTCTCATAATATGAGTTTATTCTCGTATTATTTCTACTTACTGACATACGACTTTATCATCATAATATGATGGCTTTATTCTCATATTACTACAACTATTTCTCTTATTACAACTTTTTCTCATTATTTTCAACTTACTATCATACAGCACATAGAACTATTAACATAAAGGTTTATCATTATGCCTCTTTTGTGTTATTATGACTTTTTAAAGTATTATTACTACTTTATTTTCGTATCATTTCGACTTATTGTTGCACTGCTTTGTTCTTATCCTGTGATGGTGCCTCTGTGGTCAGTTCCTCTCCTTGCTCAGCCGTCTTTTAGACGATGGATTGAACATTACTCAGAGATGTAGCTGTCACAGAAAATGCAGGTGTAAAAACTTTTGCAAGGCTCATCAGCAGCTGAACCACGATTTGGATTTTCTGCCAAAAGCTTGTGCTTTGTATTTCTCGTCAACAACACGAAACGTGGCGACAAGTGTTGCTTTGTTTTGTTTCAACCAGACCAACACCCTAGAGCAAAGTGACCACTGGGGGGCAGTATGGTTCACAGAGTGTGTGTGTTGGGGGGGGAAGGTGGGGAGAAAGGGCGGTCAACAACAATCACCATCAATATATAAAGATCCTTTAGGTAGCACACCTCCATCTTAGTTTTTTTCCACTTTGCGCCCCTAACGGCGCAGACCAGAGCGCTCCTTTCTGTAGGTGAATTATCTTAACTTAGCCCGTGTTCTCTCTTTGGCACAGGGACTAAAAATACACCAGACAGGATATGAATCCTGCTGCTGAGGCTGGAGGACTCAGACGTCAGACCAGAGGATGTGCAACATCAACCCCTCTGTGGCACGTCAGAGAGGGGAAGGAAGAAAAGGAAGGCAGGAAAAGTAGTGGGAGGGAAGGCTTTTCTTTCTTTTTTTTTTGTTGTTTTTTTGTTTGGTTTGTGTCTGTGGGCCTCATGACGACTGACAGGATAAACTTATCTGGCAGTTTAAAGCTGGTTAAGACCTGTGGAAGCATTATGTGCATCATAAATTCAGCAGCTGAGATGCTCCATAAAGAACATTGTGTGATAAGGTTCCATCCTCCATATCGCATATCACACAGGGATTCATAAACCCTGCAATAAACATGCTGCTGGGTTTCACCTGGCAGCTGTCGGTGGTGGTTAGAGCTCTCTGGGATGTGCGCTGTGAAATATTCACACCCTTCTGATTTCAGGTCACAACTGTGAACTCCACCACATTTTTTAGAGGTGAATATTTTCTGATCTGCCTAAAAACTATTTACTATTTACTATAAGCAGGTATCTGATGTTTTGTTAGGGAACATTAGTCGCTCCAGTTTTTTCGCAGATTGTGGAAATTTACGCAAAATTTGTATTTTGCACTACAAATTTTTCCCCCAACAAATGGTCAAAAACATTTGTGTTTAAGTTACAGCGACCTCCCACCTGTAGGTGGCAGTATTTTCTATTTGTACAACACTGCTGCCTCAGCCTCACTTGATGTCATCTTGCAGCTACGCAACATATCGATCTCGGATACGGTGTGTAACAAAAAGTCACATTTAAAGTCATAAGTAAGCACAAATATTGCTAAATTCTTTCCATATATCTCTGAATATTTCTCAAGTGAGACCAAGGTGTAACTTTTTGGCCTGAATGGAAAACCTTATGTACGACGGCTCTTGATAATTTAGCTTAAAAAAAGTGTTGAACCAACAATTGAAAAATATTTAGCTGTTTACTTAATTGTTTGTTGTTGTTTTTTTTTTAATGGAATAAATATATTCCACACAAAAATATGAGGTTGCATTTCCCTTGACCACATAATTGCACAATTTGAGATTTTGAAAATTAATTTGCTTGGTGGAGACACTGCAATTTATTATTTTCACTGAAAAGTTTTGACGCCAGGATGAGGTGGGTGTTTTTTTGGCTGCATCAAAATCAGCTTGTTTCACAAAATTGCAATGGAAAAACTTTTTTCACATCATGTGGATTACAGGGCCAACAACGGGATGTTGCCACTGGCGCAAACCATGAAGAAGAAGAAGACAAGAACTAGTTTGGAGGAGTATTTTTAATGATTTACTGCGTGGACAGACGTATTCACGTGTGATATTAATTGCATTTCTTATCTAATCAACACAACACAATTCCGAAATTGTATTTTTTCAACTTTAGTGGAATATGGACAAAGTTTGGCGCACATTTGTAATGTTCCTAGTCATATTTATTGTTGTCTCGTCATCATGTTGGAAACTAAGTGCTTTTTTTGTTCACATTATTTTAAGACAAAACATTTTTTTAGCAACCCTCTTTTTGTAAATGTTTTATATTTTCCTTTGCTTTTAAAACCTAAAACCAGACATAAAATGGTGGTTCTTTAAAAATTACCACAAATTTCCTAATGGACATTTTTATTCCAATTTTTCTTTTTGCCTTTTCACAAAACTTCATGCAACATTTATGGCTCTAAATGAGTACAAAAACATCTCTTTGGTTTGTGAAAGTTGTCTGAGCAATATTATAAAGAGAAATCTGACTTATATCAGCTAATAAAGGAAAACAAAAACATTCTTACCAACACTGTGAATTTTCCACTGAGCAGCTCGGAGCGCAGCGGCTCTTCCTGAGGCTGCAGTCTGACGATCCCTTCTTTAAGACGCGTTTCCTGAAGACAAACGGATCAAAAGGGAGAAATATGAAGTCAGCCTGCTGGGAGGCCAGAGGAGCTGAATTCCTCTGAGTGAACAATAGAGCCGCCCCAGGAAGACCCGTGTTATTTCGAGCTGGATTCTAGGAAACCCTGGAGTGATCACAGGAGGTTCCTTCAACCTGATCTGTAGATGCTTGGACTAGGTCGTTGAAATCTACCTCGGGTTTTACGTTTAAATAGATGAAAACAAAGATTAGGGACTCTCATCTTGGTTTCTGCAGACTAAAATGACACAATGATGACGATAATATTAACTTTTATTCTCTTTATGCACTCCTCAATCTGACAAGACACAAACTTAGACAATAACATGGACTGAAATAAATATGATCAAAGGTTGAATTAGTTTTTTCAGAGAGTGGGACACAAAGCATTATCAAATATGAAACGTAAAATCATGACATATAAGAAAGTTTGATTTTATTCTGCTTACCAAAAGGAGAAAAAAACATGTCAGTCTCAACACTAACCTAACTCTCATCCATTCTCTATAAATTCACACAAACTGATCTTAAGCTGGTTCCCAAATGATTTTAATTGAACCTTTAAGTGTCCAGAAATCACAAAGATAAACCACCGAGACATTTTCATAAAACAGATAAAATCCTAGATTTAAAAAGAAGCATAAAAAAATTATCGTTCAAATTCAAAAATACTTCATCTCAAAGGGAAATTTTGATGTCGTCATGCATAATTTCATCATCAACGGACAGCAAGCTCTTCTCATCCGCCTCATTTGCTTTTGTCGTTTCATTAGATGAGATGTTAACACTGAAATCCATTTTTTTTATCCATTTTTTTTCTAGTTGGATAGACTGATGTTTGCTTGTTCAGACTGATTTGTTGGCCCATGACTTGGTACAAGTGCTGCGTTAAAGGAACTGCTTTGTTGAGGTGACAGATTAATCCTTCCTAAAAGGTCAAAGTTTCATGATTGCGCCTGTCAGGTCTGGAAACTGTCTGAGCTGCAGAGCCTCTCCGCATTTTGTCACATCATAACCACAAACTTTAAAGGGGGGTGTTTCTTAGAGGTTTATGTGATAGACCAAAAGCAAATTAGCGCTTCAACACGAGGTGGAAAGAACTAATAACAAATAAGAATCTTTAAAATCTTTAAAATTCTTATTTGTGAATTTGTGTTCAGGCCTCACTGAGTGAATACTATTTAGAACTACCTTAAGGCGCAGTTACAGCTACAGGCCTGTAGGGGGTGTGTTTACCAGCTTTTTGGGTGTAAATGCTGATTTTTTTTTTTCCTCCATTCTGTTTTTCAAAATAGCTCAAGTTGAGTTAGATTGGATGGAGACTGTGACCAAGTCCATCTAATTGGAGTTCAGTATGGACTTTGACTGGGTCGTTTCAATGCTTGAATAAGGTTGAAGCTAAACGTTTACTTTTTTGTATATGTGCAAAAAAAAGATTCATATGGGTAGAGGACATTTTTTTTACAAGTCTGCTATCTAATGTAATCATTTGTGACAAAGTGTCAATGGGGCAATTTCTCTTCTTCTTGCCTGTCTACAGTAACGGAGCTGAAACATGCTCTCACCAGAACCAAATATGGACGAGCACCGTTTATTTTCTATTCTCTACTAATCTGGAACAAACTTCCACAAAAGTAAAAAACTGTCAAAACGCTGAGTTTCAAGGCTAAAAACCCACCTGTCTAGAGTTCTCTTTGATTAATAATGACTTGAACATTAATTATTATATTTGATGTATATTTCCTTGATTTTGATGATGGCATTTGACAAAATATGTTTGTTTTATAATTCGTTACCATAGTACATGCTTTCCACATGTAATATGCTAAGCAAGTCAAATTCAAGACTTTATTAGACCTTTTTCAGACCATTGTGAATGAAATGTAAGACCTGTACCACTGCAGAATATGCAAAAGAAAATTGCATATTTTATGTAGTAATAGTACCAAGTTTTTTGCACAGAAGTGAGCCAGTGGCAAAGAAAAATGACCAATGATAGACACAAAAAAGCTAGCTAGCTAGCAAGGGTTTATTAGCAGCTCGTTAGCGGTAGCCTCGTTAGTGGTAGTCTGCATGTGACTCCAACTTTTGCCTAACAGAAATGTTCCCCAGAAAAAATAAATTAGAATATTAAATAGTCCTGCCATGACAACATCTAAGACCTGTAGTTAATGTATTCAAGGCCAACTTAGGCTACATACCTTGTAATACATTTAAGACGTTTTAAGGCCACAATTTTAGGTACATGAATTTAAGACTTTTCAAGGACTCCCTGGTATGCTGTTTTATGGTCTAAAGCCCTTTGAACTGCCTTGTTGATGAAATGTGCCATACAAATAAAACTGCCTCGACTTCTGTTGGGCATTCAAAACTTCTCCACAACTTTTTCTCCCTGACATGTCTGCTATTCACTTGACTTATTTTTGGGGACTGAACACAAATGCCACACTTTTAATATCTTTATTGGTGTACTTATATTTTTCACTTTTCCGTTCGGACCCTATTAACCTTCCACCAATATTATGCATGTCAAGCAGTGTTTCTCAACACTGCTTGACATGCAGTCAAGCAGGGGGTCCTCAGCGCCCCCTGTCCTGCATGTTTTAGGTATTTCCCTTTGAAACACACCTGAATTGTATCTCTGGGTGATTAACAGCCTTCTGCAGCACTTGATGGTCATGCAATAATTTAAATCAGCTATTCTGGACTAGAGGCACTCACTCACTGAGATCATCAAATAAATAGGGAACTCGGAGTTTGATCACCACGTTCCACTTTGATGGTGGGAAGATCACCAGATATCTTAACCCATTCTGCTTGTCACTTTTGATTTCACAAACTCAACTCATCTCACCCTCTTGCGCGGACACACACACGTATGCATCCACGGTTGCACTACTTCACAGTGTCCCTACAGCAGAAACGTACACGCCTGGCTCCGACAGACGTGCTAAGATGTGTGAAGTTGTATGTTTCTTAATGCTCCTCTCTCCCAGGGAGGTGGCTGAGAACGCGGCAAGCAAACAAACAGGAAGCTGAAAAAAGGAGAAGATCAGCAATGCTCGGTTCAGATGCACAGCTGCTGTTCATCTGTTATCCCTCAAAAAAAA